TAGCTTAGCTTAGTTTATTTCAGTTTAATTTGGCTTAGCTTAGTTTAGATTAGCTTAGGTTAGTTTAACTTAGCTGATTTTAGCTTAGCTTAGTTTATTTCAGTTTAATTTGGCTTAGCTTAGTTTAGATTAGCTTAGGTTAGTTTAACTTAGCTGATTTTAGCTAGGCTTAGTTTATTTGAGTTTAATTTAGCTTAGCTTGGTTTAGCTTAGTTTATTTGAGTTTAGTTTATTTGAGTTTAGTTTAGCGTAGCTTAGTTTAGTTTAGCTTTGCTTAGTTTAGCTTAGCTGATTTTAGCTTAGCTTAGTTTATTTGAGTTTAATTTAGCTTAGCTGAGTTTAGCGTAGCTTAGTTTTGCTTTGCTTAGTTTAGCTTAGCTGACTTTAGCTTAGCTTAGTTTATTTGAGTTTAATTTGGCTTAGCTTAGTTTAGATTAGCTTAGTTTTGCTTTGCTTAGTTTAGCTTCGCTGACTTTAGCTTAGCCTAGTTTGAGTTTAATTTAGCTTAGCTTAGTTTAACTTAGCTGATTTTAGCTTAGCTTAGTTTATCTAAGTTTAATTTAGCTTAGCTTAGTTTAGCGTAGCTTAGTTTAGTTTAGCTTTGCTTAGTTTAGATTAGCTGACTTTAGCTTAGCTTAGTTTATTTGAGTTTAATTTGGCTTAGCTTAGTTTAGATTAGCTTAGTTTAGATTAGCTTAGTTTATTTGAGTTTAATTTAGCTTGGCTTAGTTTATTTCAGTTTAATTTAGCTTAGCTTAGTTTAACTTAGCTGGTTTTAGCTTAGCTTAGTTTATTTGAGTTTAGTTTAGTGTAGCTTAGTTTAGTTTAGCTTTGCTTAGTTTAAATTAGCTGATTTTAGCTTAGCTTAGTTTATTTGAGTTTAATGTAGCTTAGCTTAGTTTAGCTTAGCTGATTTTAGCTTAGCTTAGTTTAGCTTAGCTGATTTTAGCTTAGCTTAGTTTATTTGAGTTTAATTTAGCTTAGCTTAGTTTAGTTTAGATTAGCTTAGTTTAGTTTAGCTTAGCTTAGTTTATTAGAGTTTAATTTAGCTTTGCTTAGTTTAGCTTAGCTGATTTTAGCTTAGCTTAGTTTATTTGAGTTTAATTTAGCTTAGCTTAGTTTAGCTTAGTTTATTTGAGTTTAGTTTAGCTTAACTTAGTTTAGCTTAGCTTAGCTGAGTTTAGCTTAGCTGAGTTTAGTTTAGCTTAGTTTATCCAGTTAAATTTAGCTTAGCTTAGTTTATTTGAGTTTAGTTTAGCTTAGCTTAGTTTATTTGAGTTTAGTTTCACGTAGCTTAGTTTAGTTTAGCTTTGCTTAGTTTAGCTTAGCTGATTTTAGCTTAGCTTAGTTTATTTGAGTTTAATTTAGCTTAGCTTAGTTTAGCTTAGCTTAGTTTAGTTTAGCTTAGTTTATTTGAGTTTAATTTAGCTTTGCTTAGTTTAGCTTAGCTGATTTTAGCTTAACTTAGTTTATTTGAGTTAAATTTAGCTTAGCTTAGTTTAGCTTAGTTTATTTGAGTTAAGCTTAGCTTAACTTAGTTTAGCTTAGCTGAGTTTAGCTTAGTTTAGCTTAGTTTATCCAATTAAATTTAGCTTAGCTTAGTTTATTTGAGTTTAGTTTAGCTTAGCTTAGTTTATTTGAGTTTAGTTTAGCTTAGCTTATTTGAGTTTAGTTTAGCTTAGTTTAGCTTAGCTTATCTGTGTTTAGCTTAGCTTAGTTTAGCTTAGCTGATTTTAGCTTAACTTAGTTTATTAGAGTTTAATTTAGCTTTGCTTAGATTAGCTTAGCTGATTTTAGCTTAACTTAGTTTATTTGAGTTTAATTTAGCTTAGCTTAGTTTAGCTTAGTTTATTTGAGTTTAGTTTAGCTTAGCTGAGTTTAGTTTAGCTTATCTGTGTTTAGCTTAGCACAGGGACTGAATCTTCTGAGAAGAAGGTGTCAAAATAAAACCAAACCTCTGTCAGGAGTCATGGTTGATTGGGACGAGTGAAGATCACCATCTGATCCAGGACCAGAGACCTGAGGGATCAACTGAGACCCTGGGACACACAGGGACTCAGACCGTGTTAGTAAAATATATCTGGGTCCATTGGACTCGTGGGACTGAAATCGTCCTACCTGGACCGCTGGGGGACAGGGGTCCAGACCGCGGCTGGCTGCCGGAGCCGGCAGGGGACGGTGACGGGGAGGGAGAGGGAGAGGGTCCTGTCCGAGCCGGAGGAGGGAGGCGGGGGGAGACGTGGGGGGAGAAGGGTGACCGGGCTCCTGGAGTCCCCTGGTCGCCCTGAGCACCGCCGGAACCTGAGACCCCTGAAGTGATGGCGGCTTCTGTCCCGGTGGGCAGGTCGTCGATGGAACCGGACAGATCCTGGATCAGAGAGAAAACAGAGGTTCTTTATCAGCTCCACTTATCTGGAGGAGGGGGTCACATGACTCGCGTTTAACCCTTCAAAATAAAAGCATAATGAAGATATGTGGAAGAAGTAAATCTGTGAATAAAAATAAAACAATCATTTCCTGTCATTATATAAAGAGGTCAGATGAGCTTTCTGCAGCTGCTCTCCTCCCTGCAGCTCACTGATTTACACCTCTAATCATCGTGTTTCAGTAAAGTCTCTCTGGAACTGACTGGACTTTTCCAGCCTCATCGCTCATTCAGAGTTCTCCTGCTGAAGGATCCAGATTCTCAGGTGAAGCTCAGACGTAATGAAGTGACCAAATGAAGAGGCAGAGTTTGATGAATAATTATCAGCTCTGATCAATACGTCATTCATTTCTTTTACTTTAGTTTTTCCACAAGAAGAAAAACGTTCATTTTGTGGACTTGGCTGACAAATAGTTCTACATGGGGTGGATTAATCTTTTTGTGGAGAAATGTATTGTTCTGGTAATTATGTTTCAGCTGTGGAGTTCATGAAGTGTCACATTTCTGGATCCCAGTAAAGTCGATGTGTTTTGGCTTTATGACAGAATTCAGAAATATTTTTTTCCCAACAGAGAACCATGAGCTCAGGTTTGGAGGTGCTGGTCCTCGTCTCATCTGCCTCACACTCAGCTGTGAACGCTGACACGAACAGAACCAAATCAGGGCAGAAAAAAACAGGAACTGAAAGGAAAAAAAACAGAAGAAAGAAAAGGAGAAATAAAAACAGGAAAATAAAAAAGGAGGTGAAGAAAACGAATTAGAAACTGTTTCCCATCAGCTCTGAGCCGGCCAATCACAGCGCAGTAACCCGTCCTCCTTCCTTGATCCACGCCCTGCCAACAGCTCGACCAATCAGCTGCCTGCTCTGAACCACACACACACTAATTATAAGGATGCAGAGTGTGTATCTTTGTGAGGACAAGCTGCAGCTTCATCAGATTGATTCACGATGGACACTGATGCATTATGGGTCATCTGTCCGTCACCCAGCAGCAGCTAGGAACTAAAATCAAGTTCAAACCCACTCCCAGCATCTTTACAGACGGAGTCATCTAAGATGATGAAACTTCCTGTCAAACACTGTTCAAAGAGGAGAATCAGGTCGCCATGACGACCTGCAGAACTCAAACCGAGCAGAGATTCAATCTTCTGACTAAACTGATGAATATTTACATCACGTGTCCCACCTATAGGAACAGAGCAGAGTTAATATAGATGCTGCATGTTTACACCAAACAAAGCAACAATTACATCAAATATTATTTAAGATAAAAACAAAAGCCAGTTCAGCTGTTAGATGAACACCATGAGCTCCATCATCAGGGCACATCCGAACTAGGGATGCAAACATTACGATTAAATGCTGAATAATGGTTTATTAGATTTAAATTCCTTCCATTTGATTAATTGAAAACATCAGTTTAAACCTTATTTCAGTGTAGTTTTTGCCTTCATCCAGCAGAGGGAGCCGCTGCTCTCAGCCTGGCCTTAACGCTACCCCGGCCCTGTTGAGCCGAGCAGAGAGCAGCCCAGACGTAGGCGGCATCATAATTAAACGCGCAAATCTTGTTTAGTTTTATTTGTGACACAACAATAACAATGGACTAAACCAAACTCAAAGGAAACTATCCAGCGGTATGACGTTAAAGACGAGAGCAGGATGACAACGAGCACGGTAAGCTAACTGTAGCTAACGTTAACTTCTTCTTGTTGAGTTTAACTCTGTGGAAAAAAAAAACCACAGGGAATGTAAACAAACAGTTCCAGTACTCATTTGTATGTTCACCCCTCTCAGAGATATTTTATTATGTTTATAGTTTGTTTTTGAGTAAATCTTTAGATTAAAATGTTACCCTGTGTTTAAATGTTAGTTTTATATTTCTCTGTTCAGGGTGGATTAAGTGTTTTACTTCTTTTTTCTTTCCTTTTTTTCCCAACTAGCAACCTTATGGAGCCCGCGAGGGGACATGGGGGATACTTTTTTCTTTTGCGTTACCTGGCAATAGTATTGCGTTCCCTCGCAAAAGTAGTTTATCACTGTTGTGCCTGCCAGTTTATTAAACAAACTCACATGTTCACCATTAGCGAGTTAGCCTACTGCTTTAATTCAGCTTCAGAATGAATATATCACACAGCCACGCATGGAAGTATGTCATATGCCGATATTTTAACAGTGCAGCCACGCAACATCAATGTCAATTTCGCGAACTTGTGGCGACACATCCTGTTTTGGTAACCGGATATTTCAAAATAAAAGTCTGATTTAATTAAGTTCATATACAAAACAAACTTCAGCGTGGGAACGCAAAACAATTTTGCCGGGTAATGCAAAAGTATTGCGAGGTAACGCAAAAGTATTGCGAGGTAACGCAAAAGTATTGCGAGGTAACGCAAAAGTATTGCGAGGTAACGCAAAAGTATTGCGAGGTAACGCAAAAGTATTGCAAGGTAACGCAAAAGTATTGCGAGGTAACGCAAAAGTATTGCGTGGGAACGCAAAAGAAAAAAGTCCCCCCATGTCCCCACGCGGGCTCCGTACAGCCTAACCAATTCCTGTTTTGTTATATTTTATAAATATGTCCAAGTTTATTAATGTGAGAGAAATCGAGGTACACTTCGCTGCAGCATGCAGAACGGGGCGGTGACAGACCTTTCTGTCAGTCCCATAGCTTATATGGAAATGGGACTATTGCATTCCGGAAATGAAGGTTGCGCGGGATTAAGAGAGCAAAGGAAGAAGAAAGGAAGAAGTTAGAGAGTTTCTTCTACTCACGTTGAAGTACTCAGAGCATTATTTATTCATTTCTTTTATCCACCTCCCCAAACACAGACCCTCAGGTTAACCTCACAGGTTTAATGCCTAAGGTTAGTTTGTTACTGTAATATAATATTAATATCCAAAAACAACAAAGATTTAATAAAGATTTGAAAATGAAAAAGGGACATACCACGTGACATAACACGTTGTGTAGCCATTTCCTTACTGTAAATTTTCTTTTTTTATTTTCTTTTTTTATTAAACAAAGAACACACAAAATGATACAATGTACAAACAATAAGGCGTATTTCAAACAAACAAACTTGCATAAAAGAGAAAAAGGATGGGTGCAAATAAAGATAAGAAATTCCTTACTGTAAAATTTGTATTGTTAATGTTGATAGTGTTCGATAGAAAATAGTGTCACTAGCGCCCCCTTCATGTTCGGAATGCAATAGTCCCATTTCCATATAAGGAATGGGACCGACGGAAAGGTCTGTCACCACCCCGTTCTGCATGCTGCAGCGAAGTGTACTTGGAGAAATCCACAATTTTCTGTTTATTCAGTCAGTGTTTAATACAGCTGGAACAATATATTTTATAAAATATAATACTGTACTTTTTTAATTTAGTGTGTAAAAAATTAGCCCTTCTTGTCACAGAAAGGCCCTTGATTCAAGAGAAATGTCAGGTTTTTAGGAAAATGGCCACTTATCAATTAATCGTTAGTCGATCGATAAGATTAATGAACTTTAGATTAATCCATTAATTGATAACTTGCATCCCTAATCTGAACCTATCATCCAGAACTCACCCAGCCCAGCCCTTGACTCGTGATTACATCACTTCCTGTTTGACTCTGGCATACTGCTCCCACTTCTAAAACAACTTCATTGTAATAATCCGCCACCCTGCAGACCTGGGTGGGTTGACCTGAATCCTGACCCAACCCAACTCTGGATGATTTAAAGTTCAAATAAAAAGATGAGAAGTTTTGGCCTGAAGTCTTCAGCAGTCCAATAAACCTGAACCGGGATCAGAACCAGACCGACTTCCAGAGAGCGGACCGTTTGAAGTGGAGGACATCCAACATCAAACCGAACCACCTCTGATGAGACGTCTGCCAGGATCCTGATGACTTCCTTCATTTTCTCCCCCCAGCCAGCGAGACGGTGCTCCTCCAAGCAGCGGTCGCCACGGCAACAGCATCAGGACCCCCGACTTCAAACGGAGGCTCGGTTTGAGGAAGACGGAAAGAGAGGAAGAGGATGGCGGAGGAGCATGAGAGAAGGGAGGAGGAGGAAAATGAAAGAGAATGTAAAAACGAGGAGGAAGAAAGAGACGGAGCGAGAGAACGAGGACGGCTCACAGCTGGAGCTGAAGATGATTAAAGCTCAGCAGCACAACTGACTCACTTCATCTGCTGCACAGGAGAAACACTCCACGTGTAAACAGAAATACTTCACCTGCAGGAAGAAACAAACCCGGCTGACTGTTCAGCACTTTGGCTTTAACGTCCTGCCACTTTCTTTTTTGACGAAACTAAAAAAACCTGAGATGTTTTCATGATCGGAGCAGAAAAACATTAAACATCACAGTTTGTTTTTTAGGTTTTGTTTTCAAAGACCAGGAATTTATGATCAACAGTTCCTCCAGACTCATCAAAAACCTAATTTATTTATTTATTTAAGTCACTGTCATAAAAGATTCTGTAGTGGATTCCAAGCACAGAAAGATGTAAAACACAGAAATGAGGACTGGATGAGAACTTTTGCACAGACCGTAGTGAGGTTTATCATATGGTGTGATTTCAGTTTCTGGGAGTGTTTTATGGAATAACTGTGAATCAGAGTGCGGAGCGGCAGAACCTCATTATTTACAGGTGTATCTTATATAAATCCAACTCAATTACAGTCTACACAGGGATCTATATTATATCCTGAAAAGGTTAGACAACCTCCTGTTATGTCAAGTCTGAACACTWCATCAGTAAGAAAGCAAAAGCGATTTTCCTGTCTAAAAAAAATCCAGGGACGCTAAATCACCTAGGTAAAATTAGAGGC